TGTAACGGAGGAAGAGGTGGGGTTTAGGGCCGGTGTAGGTACGGAAGCATCTGTTATTTCCTTTCTGACTTTCTTCAATATCCCAGGGAACAATCTATCTGACCCTGGTGACTTTTCCACTTTCAAGGATTCCAACTCCTCAAACACTTCCTACCTCGTTATGATTATTTTGTCCAAAATTTCACTCTGCTTGTCTTTTTTTTTCCTATTCATTTTGTGGGATATGGATGTCACTGGCTGGCCAGCATTTCTTGCCCATCCCTAGTTGCCCTTGTGAAGGTGATGGTGAACTGCCTTCTTGAACCGCTGCAGTCCTCCTGCTGTGGGTTGACCCACAATGCCATTAGGGAGGGAATTCCAGAATTTTGACCCAGTGGAGGAATGGTGATATATTTCCAAGTCTGGATGGTGAGTGGCTTGGAGGGGAACTTGCAGGTGGTGGTGTTGCCGTATGTCTGCTGCCCTTGTCCTTCTAGATAGAAGTGGTCGTGGGTTTGGAAGGTGCTGTCTGAGGATCTTTGGTGAATTTCTGCAGTGCATCTTGTAGATACAACATGCTGCTGCTACTGAGGGTTGGTGGTTGAGGGAGTGGATGCTTGTGGATATGGTGCCAATCAAGCGGCTGCTTTGACCTGGGTGGTGTCAAGCTTTTTGAGTGTTGTTGGAGCTGCACCCATCCAGGCAAGTGGGGAATATTCCATCACACTCCAGGCTTGTGCCTTGTAGATGGTAGACAGGCTTTGAGGAGTCAGGAGATGAGTTACTCGCCACAGTATTCCCAGCTTCTGACCTGCTCTTGTAGCCACTGTATTTATGTAGTAAGTCCAGTTGAGTTTCTGGTCAATGATAACCCCAGGGTGTTGATAGTGGGGGATTCAATGATGGTAACACCATTAAATGTCAAGTGGAGATGGTTAGATTGTCTCTTATTGGTGATGGTCATAGCCTGGCATTTGTATGGCACAAATGTCACTTGTCTCTTGCATTAATATATCCACTTCATCCCTTTCTTTTGCGAATGTGGAGACAAAAATCATTTCAAATTCTTCCTATATCCTCTGCATCTTCACATAATTTCCCTTCTTTATTTCTAATAGGTCCTCTTTTTCATTAACTATACTTTTGGTGCTGATGTACAGGTAAAATCTCTTTGTGTTTTCCTTTATCTTGCTTGCTAATATTTTTCATGCCCTCTCTTTGATTTCCTTATTTCTTTATTTTTAACTTGATCTCTGTACTTCCTGTACTCCTCTAGGCTACCTGCAGTGTTGAGATTTTTGTGCCTTTCAGTTTAATGAAGGGCTGATATTTCAAGGTATTAATTACTTTGTAAGTCCAAATATCACATACGTCAGAACATGACTGCAACACCTGATACATGGTGCCACACCATTTTATCCTACATGATCCAAAGCATTTCCTTGACAAATCTGGAAAAGGTTAAGGGTGGGAAGAGGTTAGGAATAAGGGGCCTGGAATCGGAGAAGGACCAGGGCTTGTGATTTCTTCATTAGGTTCGCTATAAGAGACAACGTGTCTTCAAAACTTAGAAGATTAAGGGATGAGGATAAACAGGAGTATATAAGATCCCATAGTTCACGCTTAAAAGGAAATAAAGAAGGACATTCAGAGAAGCACTGCCAATGGTATTGTGTAAATGGTATCCACATAGAATACAGATGATTTATACTCTGTGCGATGCTATACATTTACCCCTATGTAAAATATACATTCCCTCTACGAATAAGACAAAGCTCCCAAACTCTAAGATGTGCTTTTGCTACAACATCAGTCTATTAGTGTCTCTTTTTGTGTGACAAATTTTACAGATTTAATCCATTTTCCACTCACATTTTACACTCATTTGATGTTGCCCTTTAATATGAATGTGACATGTGTGACAATGATTTGCAGAATATGCAGCATCACAGATAAAGGCTACGTTCCTCTTTGCTGTTTCACTGTCTTTCGATGAATTAGTGTTTGTAATTCCCATCTCTGTAACATGGCCATTAATCATTAGAGTCCACAGTAAGTAATGCAGTTAAATTCCACATGTCACTCTGTACTCTGTTGGATAGCTAATGTACAGAACATTACACCACTGCAGGTACGTAATAAGAAAAAGTTTTCTACTACTGTTGGAAAGGGTAATCACAAGCCAGTCACAGTTATCTAAGCTCTGGCAAGTACCCTGCATAGGTACTGCCTACTGTGTATATGTGAAAATATTCAAATATTCTATTATTAATACATTTGGGAAATAAAGCTCAGGGGTGTATCAGGGACATTCCATGAATCCTGGGGAATGGAAGGACAGAAAGTGCATGCAATTTAGCAAACAGAAAGTCTAAAGCTTGTACATTTATAGAGAAAGCAAATATTTGGATAAGATGAATGCGGGTTCATTAAGAGCAGAGTCGAGAAAATGTATAATGGGGAATACAGAAATGTTACCAAAAAATGATTATTTTGTTTTTTTTTCATTCATTTACAAGATGTGGGCATCACTCACCAGGCCAGCATTTGTTGCCCATCCCTAATAGCCCCGAGGGCAGTTAAGATTCAACCACATTGTTATGGGACTGGAGTCACATGTAGGCCAGACTGGGTGAGGATGGTAGATTTCCTCCCCTAAAGATCATTAATGAATCAGTGGGGCTTTTCCAACAATTGACAGTGGTTTCCTGGCCATCAACAGACTCTTAATTCAAGACTTGTTTTTAACTGAATTGAAATTTCACCATCTGCCATGGTGGGATTCAGAACAGTGTCCCCAGAATATTATTTGGGTCTCTGGATTAAAAGGCTAATGATAATACCATTAAGACAGCGTCTCCTCCTATGTCTGTTATCATTGAGGAAGACACAAGAAAGCTCCTAGAATTCGAGATCCATGTGACTAGGGAGATGAGGAGATGAAGGAAAATAGAATTAGTAAGAAGGTTGTGCTGCAGAAATTAATGTAGCTGAAAGTTGATAAAGAGCCTGGGACCTAATAGTTTGCATCACCGAAGCAGTCCATGTTCAAATGCAACAAAACCTGAATGATACCCAGGTTTGTGCAGAGAAGGGTAGTTCTGAGGAAGAGTCACCGGACCCGAAATGTTAACTCGGTTTTTTTCCTTCACAGATGTTGCCAGACCTGCTGAGCATTTCCAGCAACTTTGTTTTTGGTGGGCAGAGAAGTAGTAATAAAAAAAAAATAACATTTGTTCTACTTAAGTGCCAGGTAATAACTATCTCCACAAAAGAGAATCTAACCACTGCATTCAATAGCATTACTACAGTGAATCACACACTACCAACATCCTGGGAGTTACCATTGTTCAGAAACTGAACTGGACGAGTCATTTAAGTAAAATGATTGCAAGAGCAAGTCAGAGGCTAGAAATCATGCAGTGAGTAACTGACTCCCTGACTCTTCAAACTCTGTCTACCATCTACAAGGCATAAGTCAGGAGTACTTCCCACAGGAATACTCCCCACTTGCCTGGATGGCTGCAACTCTAACAACACTCAAAAAGCTTGACACCATTTAGGACAAAGCAACCCATTTGTTTGGCACTACATCCACAAACAATCAGTCCCTCCACCACTGACGCTCATCAGCAGCAGTGTGTACAGTCTACTATATGCACTGCAGAAGGTCCTTAGACAGCACCTTCTAAATCCATGGCCACTTACCATCAAGAAGGACAAAGGCAGCAGATACATGGGAACACCAACATCTGACTGTTCTCCTCCAAGCTACATTCATGCAGGCATATAAATATGTTGCTGTTCCTTCAGTGTTGATGGGTCACTGGAAAATCCTGGAACTCCCACCCTAAAGCACTGTGGGTCTACCCATACCAAATGGACTGCAGTGGTTCAAGAAGCAGCTCACTAGCACTTTCTCAATGTCAATTAGTGATGGGCAGTTAATGTTGACCTGGTTAGTGATTCTTACAACCCATGAATGAATTAAAATTTTTATTAAAAAAGAGGTGGCTAAGGAGATTGTCAACGCTTTGGTAATCATCTTCCAAAATTCCAGAGATCCTGGAATGAT